TTCTCTTGCAAGCTACGTGTGCTCTGACCCAGCCACTCTGAGCCAGCTCTCCCCACAAGCTGGTCCCAAATGGGCTCTTCCATGGCCCAGACCACTGCAGTGGTGTCCCAGCTGGTTCTCCTCCTTGCCAGTCTACTTTCCAGAACCTAGGCAAAGTGCAGCACTTGGAACGCTCCAGGATGCTTAGCTCCATGTGTGTGCCCAAGGCGGTGGGGCTTGCCATGGCAGGGGGATCTGGGAGTGGCTGCAGCCATGCCTGTCTGGATCTGGCTGATGCCTGTCATATGCCTGCCCTCATGGAATCTAGGGCATGTACTGCTCATTTGGGTCGCTTTGCCCACTGACAGAGGTTGAATAGCAGTCCACTGCCCAGAGCAGCTTGCAGTGAATCCCTGGCCTCGGGAACTCGTTGTGTGCCGGAAGGTCTGCAGAGCCTGTGCTGTGCCTTCTGGAGACTGGTACTCTGGTCAGTTACTGGTCAGTTGCTCCACTCTCCCATGCCCGCTTCCTTTCCTGCCCATATTATTTTTTAATATGGTGCTCAGACTCTAACCCAGTGCTTCACACATGCCAGGCAAGCACTAGCTGACTAGTCTGTGCTGGGCAACGGAAGTCACCATGCAGTTGCCACAGCCTGGGTCCCTGCCACTCTGTAACCATTCCTCGGGCCTGCTTGGCCTTGTGATCCTAAGGACTTTTTTTTTTTTTTTTTGAGAGAGAGAGAGAGAGAGATAATTTTTTAATATTTATTCTTTAGTTTTCGACGGACACAACATCTTTATTTGTAAGTGGTGCTGAGGATCAAACCCAGCACGGCGCGCATGCCAGGCGAGCGCGCTACCGCTTGAGCCACATCCCCAGCCCCTAAGGACTTTTAAGGACTGTTTGAAGAAGGAAAACGGATCAAATAAAACCAATCCAGCCATGCAGAGTGGGCGGCAGCTTCAATGCAGGTGGTGGTTCAAGAGCACCTGGCCCTGGGTGGCTCCAGGAAGTATAGTGTGGGAGAGGCCCCTATCTTCAACTGCAGGTTAGAAAGTACGAGAAGGAGGGCTGGGGTTGTGGCTCAGTGGCAGAGTGCTTGCCTGGCATGTGTGAAGCACTGGGTTAGAGTCTGAGCACCAAATTAAAAAATAATTAACTAAATAAAGGTGTTGTGTTCATCTGTAACTAAAAATATTTTTAAAAAGAGAAGAAAGTACAAGAAGGAGACTGAGTCTCTGACACTCAGAAAACGGTAGCCCATTTCTTTCACTGGAATGTTTATCTTTATGTATGCACTGGAGTGATAGGTGATAAAAAGCCAAATAATTATCAAAGAGCTTTTCCAATAAACTTAAATTACAATTGAAGTGAAAAGAAATCCTAGTATCGGCTTTTGATGGCGACATTTCCTCTTAGTGATACATAAAACAAGGGCTCATGATACCATGAAGAGGATGAAGGAGGGCCCAGCATTGGCCAGACCCCTCTACTGCTTCCCTCCTGACTCCATTTGCCTCTCTGAGCTTCTTTCTCTGAGCTGCTTCTTTCTGCAGTTACCTTGGACTCAGGAACTTCAAGCCTGGCTGATGAGCATCTTCACCCCTGAGTAGCAGTGAACCTCGCAGAACAGAACACGCCTGAAGAGCTCCCCCAGAGTGGGAGCAGCCCCCCCAGCAGGAGCAGTCCCCCCACAATGGGAACTGAATTGCCCCCTAAGTGCTTATGGCCTTTCCAGAGCTTCTCAGAAGAGTGCTAAGGACCAACCAGACCATGGCCTGCCCAGGACGGCCACCCTGCCAGCCATGCACCCCACAGCCAGGCACGCCCCAGCCCTCTCTGTGTCCTTCTCTATAACACCTCATGGTTTTGGTCAGTCTCTTGGAGACAGATCCCCCCCCCCCCCCCCCGCAGCTCTCCCAGGCTTGGCCACACTGATCACAGCGCCTGTCCTGCCCTCGCTACCTCTCCTCTCTTTGGTGTATTGGAACAGTGGCTGACTCTGGTCTGTTGGGACCACCAGGCCAGGGGCCTTTGCCCAGGGTCTTGTGTACCAAGGAGGCTTAGACTTAAGGAAAAGGTGGCAATCAGCCCAGTCACATGAAAGTGTGAACCTGATTCTAAGAAAACCTGAGGAGTCTGTCACACAAGGGGCTGACTTTGACCACCCGGAGCTCCTCAGGAAAACTATAAACTAAAAACATATTATTAATCTAAGATTATTGAATTATGCTTCTTTTTTTAAAACATTTTTTTAAAGATAGACACAATATCTTTATTTAATTTATTTATTTTTATTTGGTGCTGAGGAGGGAACCCAGTGCCTCACATGTGCAAGACAAGCGCTCTATGGCTAAGCTACAACCCCAACCCCCATTGAATTATGTTTCAATATTAAAAAATAACTTGGAAGATGTTTTCAAATGACTCCAAGCTAAATGATCTCAATGTAATACCAATTCTATAATTATCCTCAGAACCAAGGCTGCTTCTAGAAGTTAGTGATGGAGGAGGACACCAGGCGGAAGGAAAACAGTGAGAAGTGGTCACTACAGGTTGGACTATTCCTGCTTTTCTTGTTGAGAAATGTGTGCTTAAACACAATAACCTGCTAAGCTGGAATAGTCGCCTGGTTTCTATTTGACAAGTGTTGGGGTGGAGACCTGACTTCTGGGTCTGCTTCCTGTGTGACCACATAATCCTCTTCCCAGTGTGGACGCTGGAAGAGTGACATGGCCAAGGCCCCACCACTTCTTAGGATCTGCATCCACACAGATGCAGATCAGAGACAGTGGGGAGTCTCCTCTTCAGGGAGGCTATGCTCTGTTCTGGTTTCCCCTGGGGAGCAATGTGTCCTCATGCAGCTGCAGCTACTGACCTTCTTGTGGGCTCCCTGGGGAAGGAGGGACTTTCCTGTAGATTCTACTTCTCTGACTCCATCCAGTTCTTTTTTCAATTTCAGTTTGTTTCCTAGGTGATAGGAAATCTGGGGGTCCAAATGACTCTTTGTTGCAGAATTTGTGCCTGAGCTGTGGGGTCTCATTCTGCTTCTGGCCTCTTCATCATGGAATTTGCCATGACCACTCTGACCAAGTCTGATGACTTATACCTGCTTCACAATCACTGAGCTGTCCAGCGCAGCACACAGGTCAGCTGGAAACCAGCCCTTTCCTGTGGCAGACAGGAAGTTAGTGATGGAGGGCTCATTCATCAGCCCAGCGTTCAGCAAGAAGGCTACAGAATCCCTTCCTTCTTATATGATGTCTCAGTGCTTATCATGAGTTCATGCCTGCATAGTCCCCTGGTGTGGAGGAGGAAATGCAGGGGCTGTAGAGGGGAGAACATGAGCTGCTGAGGGGAGAACATGAGCTGCTGCCAGCTAAACCCGTCTCACTTGGTGGCAGACCAGTCCCAACATGTTGTTCCCTATGCACTTAGAAATAGCAACATGGCCAGGTGTGGTGGAACATGCCTGAAATCCCAGCGGCTGAGGAGGCTGAGGCAGGAGTATTGCAAGTTCAAAACCAGCCTCAGCAACTTAGCAAGGCCCTAAGTATCCTAGTGAGACCTTAGGTGTGAGGGCTGGGGATGTGACTCAGTGGTTAAGTGCCTTTAGATTCAATCCCAAGAGAAAAAAAAAATAGCACCATGTCTTTCGGTTTTATGTAATTGTCATTTGATTGTTCCCAGTGGGATTGGTAAGCCCTTCATATCTCTGTGGATTTATTTTATTTTAGAGTGAAAGTGACTTTATGACCCAATGACCATTAATTTGACTTAATGCACTCAGTGGGGGGGGGGGGGGGGAAGGCAAGACAGTCAGATATCAAGTACTGCCATCAAGGGGGAAGACCACCACACACTCTACCCAGGAAGTGGGGTCACAGTCTGTCAACAAACTGTCACCAGAGCGCCGCAGTCTGGCGATCGTGCCTTATTTTAACAGATGAGCGTGTCCTGAGCGTGGGCAAGGAGATGTTAGAACGCAGAGGGAGAGGCGTCGATATTTTGGAAGTAACGAGTATTTTGAGCTCAGAGGTATGGAACTTCAAAGATGGTGAGGGCGACTGCCTACCCCAGCGCTGCCAGCCACAAGTCACGGAGGCCTGGAGGAGGCCAGGCTAGCATCTGACCTCAGAAACGCCGGAGGCGCTCCCGATCCGGGCGAGGTTCCCGGACGCGCGGCAGCCTGGTGCTTACAGGAGCGCGCGGCACGGCGCGATCCGGCGGGTTCAGAACCCGCGGGCGGACAGCTCCCCGGCGCAGGGCGCGGCTGCGCACCTGACAGCGATCAGGGCGGGCTTCCGCTAGGGGCAGGCAGGACCAGCCGCTGCCCGGCTCCCCGGCCCCGCCCTGCCCACCCGCGCCGGCCACCGGGCCTGCGGGCGGCGGCCCCCGCAGCAGGCGACCGCCCGGGCCCTGGCCGCGCGCCCCGCCCGCCGCCGGGGAGGTGGAGCGTCGCGGCGAGGACCGCCCGGCTCTCCCCGCCCCCGCGCGGGCCGGGCTCCCCAT